GACTTCTGAGCTTCAGCTTTGTTGTGTGCCACCGAACAGACATTGACGGCGGCGATCGCTCCGAAGGGGCTGAGGGTCTGGACCGCGTTTGCGGCGAATTTCAGGCGCCCTCGAGGCGGTCCCGCACGGCGGGCCCAAGTGGATGGCAACAACAGCATCCTGATTCAGATACGCCACAGCAGGGCGATGCCAGACTCGGCACCTTGGGGACATGGTGGTCGATGCCGATCGAGTGAGCGACGCCAGCCCGCTTAACGGCAGCTGTAAGACCTGCAGTTCCACAAAAAAATTCCACAAAATTAATCAAAATTCGAAAGATTGATGGACCGGTTGGCAATGCGCTGTTATTCTACAAAATTCATCAAAATTCAAAAGATGGATGGACCGGTTGGCAATGCGTTGTTTGGGCAGATTATAGTTCCAGCAAATGCGGGTGCCATCAGCCAAGTTGGACTTCAACGCTGGATCAGTGAACCCAGAGGGCATGCCCGACGGATTGGAGGGCTTGGATTTGCCTTTGCCCTTGCCCTTGCCTTTCCCCTTCTGCTTTTTGAAGGGTGGATCGGTGGTCGAAGCGCCATGTTGCTGCAACTGGCGTTTCGGATAGTCAAAGGATTTGCCAGGCAACGGCAACATGTGAAAGGTCACGGTGTGATCAGTTCGGAGTTGTTCAAAAGCCACATCGAGTGGCTTGGTGCCATCGGCCTTGGTCTTAAGGCTCATCACACTCTCTGCCATTTTGATCCAGGCCACCATGTTTCCTTGTGCAATGCCTGGGCTCAAATCTTGTTTTTCTCGCTAAGTGTGGGGCTGACTGAGGGCACTCAAGCTGCTTCGATGCGCCTTGCGGCAGCCGCCACTGACCACCAACCGCGGGGCAAGAAACTGAAGCCCCTGGTGCCAGAGTTCAAGTCCGTCCATCGAGTCACCTGCCTGGAAGGCAGCTTTCCTCCACTGCCATCCAAGTTCTCACATGCGTGGAAGGTCCCCCCACTGCCGTGTGACCTCACCCATCTCCTGCTTTCCCATTGCTTCTTGAGTCATCCGTGCTCCTATTCAAGGGGAAGTAGCCCTTCCTTCGCCTTCTCGCCGTCGCGCTTCTCCGCGGCTGCATGGACGCGGGGTGGGTGACAGGGCACGGCGCTTCGGTCCCTGCCACGTGAGGTTGGGGGACGATGGAGCTCTGAGGCAGCCACCTTCGTCCGCCTTCTGGCGCGCTACCACCCACCGCCTTCCCGGCCCTTCGTTGCGGCGGCTTGGGGAAGGCGTTGGTGCGGGCTCCTCGCCTTCGCGGCCCAGCGCGCCTTCTTGGCTTCGCTCCTGACCCTCCCTGCTGGGCCCGGGCGAGCGTCGACGGCGAGGCTCCGCTCCTCAGCGACCTCGTCGTGCCCCCCTGGCGACGGCGCGCATCCCAGCCGCCTGGCACGGTCGTGAGGCTGCTTGTCTCACCGGCCCGGCCGCAAAGACGGTCCCTCGCACGCAGCCAGCCCCGAGGAAAAAACACAAAATGCTACATCCTACTTCCAATCCTCGTCGAGTGCATGGAGGAGTCCTAGATCGCGAACGGCCTGCTAGCCATCCCCCTGCAGTTCACTCACCATGTGGACGGGGACACGCTGCTCCGCAATGACCAGTCTAGCCGCGTCGGCCGCCCGTGACGCGGCAGCGGCATCTCACCTGGCAGCATGCCGGAGGGAAAAAGCAAGTAGGCAACAAACATGGGCAAAACAACGGTGTTCCCTCAAGCCCTCATGTCAAGGTGGCACCCCGCAACAACGAATGAGTTGACCACGATGCAACAAAGCAACGTCAACTGAATTGGCGCCCAACAAAAACGCGACTCTTTGCCCGGCGTCCTATAAGCTGTCGAGGGCACTTTGCAGGGATATGCAAACAGTCTTACAGCATCCGTTCTTTGTGTACATTCTTTTTTGCGAACGACAAACCTGAGACGTGATACCCCGACCACTGCCAAGTCGAAGCCGCCACTGCAATGGTTGAGTCGAAAATCCAAATGCCAAACATGTTTTTTCCATGCCGGAACAGCTCATTTTGTGATATTTTGTGTTTTGGCGGGGTGAACCATGCGGTGGACCAGGGCGATCTATGTATCAGAACGTTTGCATTTGTTGGTTCGAAGCGTAGGCATTACGTTTATGTCCACGTGGAAACAACAACAATTACAACACGTTCCGCAGATTCATTTGTTTGCGTGGTTGGTCAGATCCGTCTGCCACTGTTTTGCTTGCCATGGTTTTGTTGCTTTGGAAGCCCCTTCTGCTCTTGCTTGCTGTGGCCCTTCAAAAAACCGCGCTGGCGACCGAACGCGCACGGGAATTATGCAGCTTTGATCCGGTCGAATCGGACGTGCCCGAGAAATTCTACAGCGATGGCACGGAAATGATGCGTGCAGCCAAGTGTGGAGACCTCGAACGAGTCAAAAAACTATTTGAGGAGAAACCGGACGAGATCAATCGCCAAAACAGTTATGGCAAGACTTCTCTGATGTTTGCAGTGAAGTACGGTGCTGTCAAGGTGGGTGCCTACCTCATCCAAAAAACTGAACTGGACGTACAGGACTTTCATGGAATGACAGCGTTGATGATAGCCGTTTGGGAGAACCAAACGGAGCTTGCGGCGCAACTCATTAAGCATCACGCCCAGCTGGATTTACAATCTCAGTGGGGTTGGACCGCCTTGTTCATTGCTGCAAAGTTTGGAAATGCTGAAGCAGCCAAACTCTTGGTCAGCAACCAGGCCAGCCTGGACATACAGGACAAGGACGGCAAGACTGCGTTGATGCGAGCCTGGTCTGCAGAAAGGTTGGTTGTACCAGACTTGTTGGATGAAAGGCATGACAACACCTTTTCATGAAACAATTGTTTTGTTAGTTTTCTGCGAGCACTTTGCATGGTTCCGTGTGAGGGGCAGTGGAGAAAAATGACACGCAGTTGGCGGCACTGCTTTTGCATGCAAACGCCTCGGAATTTCCTGTGATGGCATGGGGTTGCAGCGCCAAAGACCTGGCCAGAGGCAATGATGAGATGTGGCAGGTATTGGAGAGTCACCGAACTGGCTGGAGAGACAAGATTACCTACATTCTATTTCAGTCAAATTTCATGTGGTTTCTACCACTTGGCATGATTTCAGGGCTGTTGTTGGGCTTTCTTTATTTGCGCTTGGTGTCCTGGCACTTGGACGGGTCGAAACTGGACGTTGATCCCTTTGCGCCTGGTGCTCGGCTGCTGGCGTCACGCACACTGGTACTTGCTAAGGAGGGAGGCATCCTCATTAATTTCCTAGCGATTGGGTACCGTGTTGTGGAGACAGTGGCCAGCATCACTCTTCCGTTGGGAGTTGTCATGCTGGGCATCCGATGGGAGGTAGTCCTCACATTCATGTTGCTCTTCTACCTTTTGCCCGCCTTCTTTTTCGTAGGTTTTTGGAGATGTGTCAGGCATCCAGCGCTGGTGTTCGTCGGCTGCCGCAGCCCGCGGCAGATTCGTCTCAAAGTTGCTGTCACGGTGACCCTTTTGGGCCTCGCTGCAGCTCTGTATTTATCACATGAGTGCGGGGAGGATATCCCGTATCTCACTGGGCATTTGAGCGGCAGTCATTTGCATGGGCATTTCTCATGGATTCTCGCAAGTGGCCCATATCCACTCCTTAATGAGATCGCAAGCCATGTGGCCTGCCCAGATCGGTCTGTTTTGGAGTCTCAGAAACAGAACCTGCTACTAGGTTATCTCAGTGCTGTTTGGTGCTTGTCAGCTTCATGGGTGGCACTTGCCCTGGCTGACACGTGTGGCTTGGTAAAGGTGCTTCAACCGGCCAAGGAAACTGCAACCAGCACAGAGGTCCAACAACTCACCGAACAAATTTGCAGCACGAAGAATTGGCAGGACTTGGGGCATTTGAGCACTCCGGTGAAAACAGTTGAAACCCGCGTGAAGATGTTTATTGCAGTGGGAATGGCCATCATTGACATGATTATTTTGGACCTTTCTCAGCTCATGACTTGGATTTGGGCCATGCAGTTCAAATTCAGTGCTTGCCTGATCTGCATTTTCACGGTCTCGATGGTCCTGGAGCTTTCGAAAGGTTTGGCTCGCTTGAAGGAGGGCCTGGCAGAATCCATGGCTCGAGGCATCCTCAGGAGTGGATGTTTCGGTGCTCTGGTTAGGGCCCAAACCACAAACAAAACCTTCACATCCACCAACAGTGAAGCTGATGCTAAAGCTTAAGTAGGAGTTACTGTGGGAAGACTAGATGTTTTCCCACAATGAAATCCTCATTTAGTGCTTTGGGTACGGCTTTGGAGGCCTAGAGGCTTATATAGATGCTTATGAATTGTGGCACTCGCTGAAAGCTGAAACGTATGGTCTCCAAGACAAATCCTCAGGAGTGACCTAGTGGAGCTGTTGCGGGTGGAGCAAGGACTGGAAGCACCTTTGTCTCTTTGTTTGACCTCCTATGCCTGGATCTTCAGCATCTCGGCCATGACATATTTGTACGATGTTTTTAGAAACAAAAATGTGGGATGCGTGCCAGGCCCTCCGAATAGATGGGCAGATGTTTGCATCATGTAAAGTTTGAAGCGGGAAATGCGAAATGCTTCGTTTGGCACATCGACTCGCTGGAGCTAGGCATGTATTCGACCAACTTCTGGCTCCTGATGACGCTCACCATTCCTTCCCAGCAGCTTGGTAGACCGTGATGTATGCCTGGGGGCTTCCATTCCGAGAATGGCGAGAGGATTTTTCTTAAAAACTGTTCATTTGGGTCTTCCGTTTTGCGTTTGAGAACACAGGCTCAGCTCCATCTACACCGTGGCTATGTTTGGCCGAGAGATTGTGGACTTCGACTTGGACGCAGCAGAGTCCCTTCAGCTCAAGGACAGGGTTGCTCGGAGGGAAGCAACTTAAAACACCTGTATGGGTCAAAATTCTGTAGCACTTTACCCCAGCAGATCCTCGTGGGACACAAGTCTGTGACTTCTTTCTAGTCTAACTTCCCCGTTGGCCAGTGAGTTCGATTTACCAAGGGACGCCCACCTTCCCTCCGTTGTGTGTGTTTTGTGCGAGAGGAAAGGGACGGCCGTGTTGTGCTACTTTGCTTGGACAGCGGGTCCGAGTCCCACACGTCAGACTTGGAAGAGGCGTCATCTGAGGATGCAGCGGCTGCTTGCGCATTTCTAAAAGTGACTTAGATCAAAGGTTGTCAGATGGTCAGGTTGTCATGTTCGACGCGCCCAATGCATGACGCAAAACAGAGCCCCTTTCACTCATCTCAAGCACCTTGACAGCCTTTGACTCGGGAGATCGGCAGAAAGAGCCGAGCTTGGAGTCTGTCTCACGCGGTTTTTGACTCTTTCCTCATTTAGCTTGCCACAATATTGTTGGAGGCGCGGGCACTTAAGTGAGACAGATGAGGGAACGAGAGGGAACTCTGAAACTTTCACCATCTACTTTCCCACCTCAGCAGCCTGTGCTCGATCATACTAGTTACTAACCACGAGCATGTCTTCATGAGATAAGAGCAGGCCGGCTTCACAACAGTATGACTGGGCATGATGCCAGTTTGAGCATCATAAATCATAACTATGACTGTTGTGGCGTACATGTTCAATGTGCTCTGGCCAAGAGAAAAGCAGCCTGCCACTGGAAGCACAAAGGGCCGATGATTTGCAATCTGAGTGGCTGGTCGGCTGGTCGGCTGGTCCAACATGAAAGCAAGTTTCCGTCAGGTGGCCCGTGTGCAGTAAATGCAGTTGCATCCCTGGACGGTAACTCGGTCCTAGGTGTCCTATTCATTTTGCTTGGCATCACCTAGACACTATTTCAGTTTTATATATTTGTTTTATTTGCAGGGTGGAAGTTTTGGATGACCTGTTTTGATATGCCACCTTGTTCCCTGGTCTGGTCGTAGCTTTTTGCTCAATGACGCCCAGAGTCGCCATCTAGAGTCCCACAGAACACTGCGGAACTTGAGCTTGTCTTCTACCAGAGCAGCCAGACAGATGACAGCGACAACAGATGTTGTTCCATTGCCTCAATTGCCTGCTTGGCTACAACACTTTGGGACGGTCAACATCGGGGATCTACTAGTTTTTTGTTTGGAATACCCTGCATTCATGTAGTTTTTTGATCCTTGGTCCTTGACCCTTTGTTGGAGTGTTTCGGAGGTGTGAGAGCCAGAAGGGGTCAGAGGGTCGGTGGTCCTGAAGGAAAGAGCATGATTTCTAGATGAACAACACACAAATTGTCCCAGTGCTGTCTCATTCGTAAGGGGGCACAGAAACGGTTGTATATGTTGATTCGGAAGGTGAAATGACGTTTCTGCAGGCCAGGACGCCAGGAAATCCTGCCATCCAGCTTGGCCAGATTCACTTCGTCAGACATGCCATCAAACTACTAAGACTATTGGAGCCTGTAGAAAGGTCAGGAACCACAGTCAGTGGCCCTTCGTTCGCCTTGGTCAGCATTCATATCTTTATCAAGGGTAGCAGATTATACAAAAAATTGAACTCTTCGCTTGGGGACACCTCCGTTGGCCCTGCCCAGGGCCGCCAGGGCCTACGGCATGGGAGTCATAAAATTCGAGTCACATAAAAGAGGACACGGGTGTTTTGGCCTACGTAGGTGTGTGGGAAGTCACAGGTGGTATGGCAAGCTTGCAGATGTGTGCAGACAGGTGTGTGAACGGGTGTGTGGGAACATCCGGACATGAGAATAGTGAATAGTTTGTACACCTGATGTGCGCCATGAAATGGATTCCGAGAAACGGGATCTACAGTGCAGTATTTTTTAAAGTAGTTTTACTATGTATGTGCAGGTGTGCATGACTTTCGTCCTGCCGTTTAAAGATGTTTAAAGCATGATGCTGCATCATGATGCTAAACTTTGACATGGCAAAAGCTTACTTACTGCCCCACCTCCAGGGGAAAATAGCAGTGCAATACGGTGGTGGTTTTGAACCCTGAGCGCATAGAGTCGTAGGGCTTTGGTTTTGGATTAGTTAACGGTCAACCCAAAATGATGGAGTGCTTTTACAGTCGGTATGACTTTAGGACCAAATCACTGTAAAGAGCACTCCTATAGATGTTGGACGTAGAGACTGGGTTTCAAATGAACAACATTCCGACTTTAGTGCACAGACGCACAACCCCAACCCTGAGTGGTTGATACTGGTGCTAGTTTGGAGCATCATCGGCTTGTTTGGCATGCGGGATGCGTGTTATATATTTGTTTCAGGCTTTCGGAAATGCACAGATGGCCTAATGTTAGGGCCAAACGGATTTGCAAACACTTCAACTTAACTGGGAATCGTCCAAAGTTTGTGAGCATGTGCTTTACATTAATACAAAGATTGGATGCACTTGACAAATGCTGCACAACTTCTAGGTTACTGTATGTTGCTTGGTAGTTGAATGCTTGCTTTTCTGTTGGATGATAATTTGACAAAGGTTCTCAAGGTCCAGGGAATGAACAGCCTGGAGAACACCTCTGAATCATTTGGATGGCTCCTCAAGTCCAAATTGATTGGCGCGGGTTATTTTTACTTATATAGGGGCTTTGTAGGATGTTTGCATGTACAGCCCATAAATACTCCACTAGTAGAGTGCAGACACGTGACTCACGACGTGTTTTGGCTCAAGACGAAAAGGCGTTCCGCAACGTCGACTTCGTGTTTTCATGGTAGCGCAAGAGTCCGGTGAGAGTGACAGGGACAAAGCGCTGCGCATCAAGGAAGAAGGATATAAGAAAGTTGAGAGCTCCGAAGAAGAGGAGCTGGAACCATCGGGAGCAGCAGCTTCTGCCGCCCCGGTTGGTATAGAGGAAAGAGGAAAAGTAAAAGAGGAGGAGGAGGAGAACAAGCCTTTGCCCGAACAACCTTTGCCAACAGAGTCCACCGAAGCGGCAGATCAGGCCGCAGATTCCACTACAGCAGTCGATCGGACCGCAGAGACCAAAGAGGAAAAGGAACAGGTAGTGGAAGGACCACAGGAAGAGGAAGAGCCTGAGCAGGATCCAAAAGTCGAGCCGGAAGCCGAGGCGGCTGCTTCAGCCGCTCGGTGACAGGGCGGCCGAGTTATCGCCGATCTCATCACAACTCCGACAGGTATCAAGACCGGCTGGGAAATCCGTGGCACCAACGCAAAATATACCCCAGCTAAGATCGATCCTGAGGCACCGTGGAGAAAGCAGGTGAAGAAACAAATTTGGGGCCAAACCAAGAAGCAGCCGGACCAAAATCCGGATTCTGACTTCGAAGCAGAGTTTCATTACAGTATCGGAAGCTCAAGGATTTGGTCAGGTTGCAAAAGAAGCAGGGTGTCATCACAGAAGATCTGAGGAGGCGTATCAAAGATTTTGGCATGGAGCGCCCAGAGCAGGAGATCAAGGAGGAGCGGAAAGAACAGAAAGTCCGCAACAAGGAGAGGCGTGCCAAGAAGATCTCTGAGAAGGCCGAGAAGAGTGAAGCGGCTGATCCAGCCGACGAAATAGAAGAAGAAGAGGAGACAGAGAGCCTGCCGGAAGAAGAGCCCTCCGGAGTGAGATTGAAGAGCAGGAGTCGCAGCCCTGTGCGACAACCTCGGACCCCAGAGGGGCCGCCACCGGCCCGCCGACAAGCTCAAAGCCGCGATACAAACAGGGGCAGAGCAGTTTGGGGCCGAGCTTTGGATTTCAATCTCAGGATCATCACCTTGGCCAATCAACGAGCTCAGAAGGAGCACATCGAGAACTGGAAGCTGGACAGTCCCTTCCAGGTCAGGAAGATAGCAGCTGACGAGCTGGTGGAACAGAGGGGCTTGAAAGGCTCAGTGGCGCTTGCTGCAATCAGGGAGCTTTGGCAGCAGCCAAACGAGCGCGGCAAGCGTGGTTCCTTTGAAGCTTGCAGCAGCTGCGACGAGCGCAAGAAAGCGCAACTTCCTGCCGTCCAAGCCTATATCAAGAAGAGGGGATTGAAAGGTCCAGCAAGGCTTGGTGCAAGTGCCAAAGCAAAAGTTGAGCCCAAGGCAAAAGGAAAGGCTAAGGCAAAGGCCGAAGGAGCACCTGCAATTGGCCGCAATCCAGAGGAGTTGACCTCTACGGGAACCCGGACCACTTCAGAGGTCCGCGAGATCCCAAAACCTTCTTCTGAACCTTCCCAAAAGGTGAAAGCCCTTGGACCGGCCTGGTAAGGGGCCGGAGACCGGACGAACCGTCCGCAGCTGAAAAGGTGCGAGAGCAGCGCCTTCGGGAGTTTGGGCCCGGTCTCAAACCATGGCTTTAGAGCAACAGGTTCAACAGTTGTCTGACCTGGTTTTGCAGCTCCAGCAAAACCAGGCACGTTTGGAACAGGAAAACCAGGTGCTACGAGAATCACAAGGAGGGGTAACCATCTTGGCTTCCGCAGTGGGGGAGCTCGCAAAGAGCCTTGAGAAAAAGGAGGGTAGACGGAAGTCCCAAATACTTATGGATACAAAAGGGTTGGGACGCCCCGAGAGTTTCGGGAATGTTGAAGGGGAATTCCGAAAGTGGGCTAGGAGCATAGATAACTTGTTTGTAACCACTTTTGGGAGAGAGGTTCATAGAAATCCTCGAGTTCATCTTGGAGCAGGAAGACGCGATTGAAATGAGCCGCATGGAATCAGAGTTCGGGGCGAGCGCCCTAGCAGACATCGACGACTTAGAAGACAAAGCGGACCAAATCCATCGCGTCCTCCTGACTCTCACTTCCGGCGAAACGGAAGATCTCATGGTAGGAGCCTCAAATGGCTTCGAGGCATACCGAAGAGTCCACCGACGATGGGATCCCCGTACTTCAGGAAGGAAACGCAACATCCTTCGAGCTATCCTCCAGCCAGAGCGGGTCAAGACTTGGACCGCCGTGAGGCCAGCCATCGAGCAATTGGAAGAGCTGATCAGGAGGTACGAAGCTCGGCGAAACGCTGCAGGGGTTACTGTAGAGAGACCTTATCGGACGATATCAAGTCCGCTTCACTGGAGATGTTGGTACCCCGGACTTAGAGAAACACCTGTTGTTGAACAAGAGTCGTTTGACATCCTATGCATTGATCAAACAGGAGATTGAACTTGTCATTGAATCACCCCTCACATCAAAATCATCTGTTCCAAAACCCGGTTCATCAAGTTCTAGTAATCAAGGACCACAACCAATGGACCTCGATTCGATCGGACAATGGATTGCAAGCCTAGTCAAAGGGAAGAGTAAAGGAAAAGGTAAACAGGCCAAAGGTGATGGAAAG